CCCTGTTGGAGCTTGAAGCAGTTCCCTCTTGTTCTGTCGTTAATTACCTGTGAGAAGAGACCAGCACCATCACTCAAGCAGAAGAATCTGCCCACAGTTGTTGATGTAGATGGGCCTCTGAAGTCCCTGCTAGCTCCTCTGGGCATTGGTATAATTGCTTTTACACCTTGGAGCTCCTGCCTTTAGGGATGGCTGAAGCACAGAGAAGAAAATACACTGTCATCCATCTCCAGCATGTGGCTTCCTCGCCATCAAAAATGTTCTAGTGGGCAAGACAGAGCCATTTGAGGCTAGATCACTGAGTTTTGGGTCAGACCAGATATACAACTTAAACAGAGAGCTAACCTGCTTCTGAGGCTGTAATTCTTCAAGGTGGGGTGACCAATTTAATCACTTACTGCTAGCAAAGCCACAACAAAAGTATTTTGCCTCCTTCTTTCTCAAGATCTGCTACTATAAATCTCTGTGTCCAACTCCTTTTTTTTTTCTTTTAATGAAAACGGCCTCTTCCATGAAACTGCAGTTGAATTTTGCTTTAAAAACCATCTCCCTTGTTTAATGTCTCTTCACAGCCTGCACTGCAGAGCTGTAGTACTCTTCCTAAGCAAAGGATGGCGATTGCCTTTCCTGTTAAGTAATGATACTGCTTAATGGCCACAATGGAAAAATGCTTTCACCTGGTAATTGTTAATAACGATGCAGTGGCTGTAAGTCTATTACATATTAGCTGAACACTATTTGGAGCTGGGGGGAACCTGAGCAGGGTAATTGCACAGTGATGCTCTAGTGACACGGCTCTCTTTTTCTCCCATGTGAATCCAGGCTAGTGTTTATCCATACAGGAGTGAGTAAACACACAGCCAAACCTTTGAGGACATCTTGTACCCTACAGAAACAGCGCGAGCACAGTAATGATAGAGCAGGAAAGGCCATGCAGTAGCATAAGATTATTTATTTTCATTCAGGTAATAACTGGGTTAGGAACATCTTCTTAAAGATAGCAATTTAAACTTTTATTTTTCATGCTGATTTACACAGATGCAGGGACAGCATGGGACATGCTATATAACTTTGTTGTTGATAATCATTTATTAATCAGAGACAGTAAGATAAGAAGCTTGCTGCCTTTTCTCCGTGAAGAGAGAATGGGGGAGCACAGATCAGTCATATTTTGAAGCATGCAGTACCTGACGGGGGAGCATATTTTTCAGAGGCCTAACCTGGCTTACTGCTGAACAAATTTTAGGCACCTGGACAAGAATAATCTTGGTCTCGTTGATTCTAATGCAACATTTGTCCTTGGGTTTAGTAAATTCAACACTCACTCTTGATCATTTCATACGAAAATTTTGTCCTGGGGCTTTGGTTGGTCTTTTCATGAGAAACAGTGCTACAGAAAGGAAAAAAACCCCACAAAAAACCCCACCCTAATACCAGTATAATCAAATCTCTGAATCATTACGAAGCCACTAAATATGCCTATATGGAAAAGCTTTTCCATAGTGGTAATCTTGCATGACTTATTAATGTGTTTTGTGCTTAAAGCCAGCCATACTGAAATGCTTGGAGAGGAAGGAGAGAACTGCACAGCAGAGAGAGGGCTTTTTCTTTTTATCTGAAAAAGGAGCATATGTTGTACGGTATATATTTTAGCAAAGAACCCAAAACCCTCAAATCTCCACTACTGTCACCATTCCTATACAGTTCCCATCAAACCTATGGTCTCAATATGTGAAACAATCAATCAGTCTCCCCTGGCCAGGGAGAGATCCTGCTGCCCGAGGCACAGATTGATTTCCCTGCAAGCACATAGACAACTCCGGGCTCGGCTAAAAAAGCAACAAAGTAAAACCAAGGCTGACAGAATACCTTCATTTTGGTTTAATTACGGACAAATTCCACCTCCTCTTATTTCATCAGAGGTTTCTATCCCATATACATCTCTGGTTTCCACTTCAACATCATATATTTTCATTTAAAAGAAGCTCTCACAGAGAACTAAACTCTTGTATGTAAATAAACAATACAGACCAGGAATATTATTCAAAGATGGAAGCACATTCTCTGCATAGCAGTATACTGGAAAACCTATCTGCCTTTTCCCTTCCCAGCCTGTGTGAGCAGCTTCAGGAATAAATTATTCAAAATGATCTGAGGCTGAGTTTGTGACAAGAGCAATTACGGTTATGAAACATGTATATTTTGTTTACCAATATTTGAATTCTGTGCACGGGCAATGCATGTGCAGACAGGGAAGCCGCCTCGCTCCTGGAGTGCTTATAACCTAATTGGATGTGTAATGGGCTCAGAGTCTTACGCTAGAGGAAATATATCAGATGGGTGTTAGCAAGCATGTGAGAGGTGTAAGACGTTTTTCTTGGACAACATTTGAATAACTTAAGAAAGATTGTCTTGGACTATGTGGATCTTTCTTAATCAAGAGCAGTTTATTTTTTTTCTTGCTAACTGACAGCCTCTGTCACAAGTACTTGCCTTGATCCTGAAACATGAGGGTATACAGGGATGTCGAGGTTCTGAATTATGCAGGTGGTCAGCTCAGAGTGATGTCTTCTAGCATTAAAACCAATACATCTTTCTCAGATGTGAAAGAAAGGAAAAGACAGGTGGTAGTGCCGTGTTTGTACATTTACAAATCCCCTATGAAATTGTTTGCTCCAAACTTATACAAAAATGTCAGCTGAAGCCAACTTTCCTTCAACTGAACCATTACCGTTTTCTCATCAATTCCATGGCAGTGGCTTAAAGCAGCACCTGAAAATGGATGACATTTGGTGACAGAGCTACAAGGAGCAGAGGGGCTGCAGGAGAGCAGCAGAGCAGGAAAAAGGCTGTAGCATAACAGATCAGAAAGACCAAGGGGCAAGAGAGGGACCCATTTCTGCAAGGCTCTGACAAATTACATTTACTCCCAGAAGTCAAAGACTTGTGCTTGTGCCTCTCGCTGAGGGTGAATTCTGCCTGGCGAGTGGTAAGAATGTTCTCCACTCTGCCTTCACAAAACAGAGTAACAAAGATGTGCATTTTCCCATCACTCCACTGAGACCCAACCATCCGACTGGCTGACTGCCACAGGGACCGACTGACATAAGGGCTTATCCGTCCTATAACTGAAAATCCAGGTTTGATCCACGCTCCGTTAACTGTTCAGTTCCAGAGGCTTCAGCATCTTTCCTCAGTAACCACACATGGTGATCAATACTTTCAAAGGCCGTTGACACAGCCTCAAAGGCATCCCATCTGTGTCTCTCATCGGAGAGCTTCTCATCTCCGTATATTCACATTAACATTCACAGGGAACGAAACCGTATTAAAAAAAGACATTGAGTATGAGACCTCTAAATAATACCCAAATGGATTTATTACAGAATGTCAGTTTGTTGCAACATCCAAATGAACATTCAGGAGAGAAGCCCCAGAAAATATCAGACCCACACGGTTTCTTTCAGACAACCCTCCTCTACATCATTAAGTCTTGCCTGTAGTAAGTCAAGCCAAACACAGCATGCAAACATTTCTATATTTCATCCTCTGCTAAATAAATGGGTTTCTCCTATTGTTTATTAATGACAGATGTTTCCCTTTGAATTTTCATGCATTGGCATAGGTCATTCTACCCTCAGCTTAAAGTTTTGCCTGCCTGTGTGAGTGTAGATGATAAACCCCAATATTCAAACCTGCATACAAGTGAATAGACCCCTGCATGCCACATTTTTTTAAAACAGTGTCTGTCCTTGCACTTGTTAAAGGACAATGTTCTTCCACCCTACCCTTACATTAAGAACTTCCCTAAGCCAGCTGGATATTCCTAAAAGTGCCCAGTCACTTATTCAGGAGAGCTCTCCTCTCTATTAGGCATTTGTTTGAAGTCAAGAATAGAGCTCAGCCTAAGAAAAAGACCTTGGCAGGTCTTGGTAAGAGTTCAGTTTAAATAGTTTAGAAGAAATCTGTGTCTGATTCAACCGCGTGTCTCCAAAGAGCAAACACAAAGCAGGCTGCCTTGCCCCGAGTCCCCCTGCCCAGCCCGCCAGCACTGCACTTCCCTGCACAGCTGTGTCAGGCAGAGATGTGGCAAAAACGTCACTTCTGACCATTTTTGTCAGTCCACCCAGAGGGATGCTGCGACTGGGCTGGGACACGTGTGCTCTGGGGGCACCACCGCTACAGCTGCATCCCTGGAAAGGCAAAGTACCTTCTGAAGCAGACCTGGCTTAAGTCCTCAGGCTATCTGGACTATGAGCTGGTAAAAACAGGGCAGTGAGGGGGGACAAACCAACCTTTACAAACATATTAACCGATGAACAGATCTGAGGATTAAAAGTATACTGCAGCTGCTGCGTTCAGCTTGCTCTCAGCTTGCCCAAAGTGGGGCTGAGCTACTCAAACGTCAAGCCTGCTTTTGTTAAAAATACTTTCTGTTTATTCCCCAAACACAGCATTCTTAATTGGACCCATAAATTACTTTTTTAGTCCTGTTGTGCAGCAGCATGAAAGGCAAATTTGGAAATGGAATCTGTCAAATCTACAAAAGTACATACACCGTGACCCATCTGTGCTACAAACTGCAGCTTTCATCAAAGTAGTTATTTTCAGTTGTTTCCTCATTGGTGAGCTGCAATAAAGAAAATATTAAGAAACGAACAATAGCATTACCTGAGACTCTGCTAATAGTCCTCTGTGTCCACTCACTGTCCTTTACTCTTAACAGTTTCAGCCGTTTTCTCCGCTACGGAGTGTGCACTCACACCCCCGTGTGCACACACACGCGCGTGCACAGACAGACAAAGAGCAGCCTTCCAGCAAGGAAAATACCCTGCATGGGGCTCGGGACTGCTGAAGGCTAAAACGTTTCTTTACAACACCCCAGAGTTGTTGTCAGGGCAGGAGTAAGACACCACAATGATTTTTTTTTCTAAAGAACGCTGGCATGTTTTTTGACATTCCTCCCCTTCCTCCAGCAAACAAATATTTTATCAGTTTACCTTTAAAATAATATGCTTCCCGTCTCCTTCCCAAAGTGCCTGGCCGGAAGAAATGACCTTTCCAGCCACAGAACAAGTTTCTCTTTATTTCAGCATGTCTTGCCTTCTGCAAGCAGGGCAAGAAGCGACGGAGGCTGGGAGCCACGGGACTGCCGGGGATGCCGGGTGTGAAAGGCGCGTTTATTCTGCCTCTCCCGAATCCCAGCCCCTCGGCTGCTCGCATCCGCACCAAGCGTGGAGAATCACATTTCTGCTTAATCAGGCCGGCTGCCTGGAGAAAGATGATTGCAAGCAGATGTACCCGTGTTCTCATGTGGAAGGAATTTGGGCTTTTGTGCCGGCTGGACGATGAGCGGCCGGCACCCAGGAGTGTTTCAGCGCTCTTTAATTTCTTCCAGGTGTTGGGAGCCGGTATCCGATGGTCCGTGCACACCTAGGGTCAGCAGGAGGACCAGAGGGAGAAGGCAGGAACGACAGGCTGACCTTACTGGGGGAAACAAGGCTCCATCCCATGCTCCTGGTAAACACCAGCCATGCTCTGAACCTCTCAAGGCTGCAGCAGCAAAGTTACGTTTTACTCCAGGCACAGTGGTTTTTACCTCTTGCTATGGGTAATCCAGGAGGAATAAACAGAATGGACATCAGACATCTCAAAATAACTTCCCTGGATCTGTAACTAGTCAGGGACAGGGACAATGAGTGTGGCACCTGCATACTGAAAAGGTGTGGTTTTCAGTGCGACACGCCAGTGACACTGCAAATGGCCCAAGGAAATCACAATCATATTAAAGACACTTTCAGTTCAAGAGAGACAGGGAACTACTGGAAAACATCCAGCATAGGGCAACTAAGATGATTAAGGGATTGGAGCATCTGCCTTGTGAGGAAAGGCTGAGAGAACTGGGAACTCTTTAGCCTGGAGAAGAGAAGGCTGAGGGGAGACCTTATTAATGCTTGTAAATATTCAAAGTGCAGTTTGAGGGAGGATGGAGCCGCACCCTTTTCAGTGGTTCCCAGTGAGAGGATGAGGGGCAGTGGGCACAAGCTGGAACATAGGAAGTTTCATTCAAATATGAGGAAGAACTTCCTCACGGTGAGAGTGACAGAGCCCTGGATCAGGCTGCCCAGGGAGGTTGTGGAGTCCCGTTCTCTGGAGGTTTTCAAGATCCACCTGGATGCAGTCCTGAGTATTGTGCTCTAGGCAATCCTGCTTTAGCAGGGCACTTGGACTAGGTGATCTCTAGAGGTCCCTTCCAACCATGGTGATTCTATGATTCCGTGGTTGCCGGGGGGGCCTGTGATGTGCTCTGGCACCTGGGACACCTGAGGGAAGGCGTCACAATGGGGGCCCCCTATAAAGGGCCCCGTCGGGCAGCGCTGAGCCATTCGAGCCCAGGACGATGGTGAGTGAGAAGAGAGACAGGGAACTACTGGAAAACATCCAGCATAGGGCAACTAAGATGATTAAGGGATTGGAGCATCTGCCTTGTGAGGAAAGGCTGAGAGAACTGGGAACTCTTTAGCCTGGAGAAGAGAAGGCTGAGGGGAGACCTTATTAATGCTTGTAAATATTCAAAGTGCAGTTTGAGGGAGGATGGAGCCGCACCCTTTTCAGTGGTTCCCAGTGAGAGGATGAGGGGCAGTGGGCACAAGCTGGAACATAGGAAGTTTCATTCAAATATGAGGAAGAACTTCCTCACGGTGAGAGTGACAGAGCCCTGGATCAGGCTGCCCAG